ATAAATAAATAAATAAATAAATAAATAAATAAATAAATAAATAAATAAAATTTAAAAAAATATATTTAAAAAAATAAATATTAAAAAAATTTCATTTTAGTCCCACTAAAAACATAACATTGCTAAGAGCCATTATTCTAAAAAGGCATAAATGTATGAATATTCAAAATGTTGAATATTAGCAAGCTTTAAAAATAACAATGATTCTTTTAGAATTTCCCTCTTCTTCAGAAAGGGTACATTTTCAGATCTAATTAAGAAGTAAAATCATAAAGAAGAAAGCCATTTTTTTCTCAAAGAGAAACGTTTCACCAGAAGGTAGTTAAAGGGGTCACAGGGTCACTCAGAGTAGGTTTCCAGACCACTTCTCTCCTCTTCTACCCACTTCACCCCATCCCACTGTTGTAAAAACTTCCATGGGATAGTCTTTAAAATTTGATTTATAATTCATTCCTTGCTACATAACTCACAGCTAGTCATTAAGTCCTGTTAATCAACAATAAATAATTGAAGGTAGAAAAGTTGACCTTCCTTGGAAATAATCCCAAAGCTGAGTTGTCAGCACCATATTACACACATTGCTCAATAATTATTTGAGGAAAAGTGATGAGAAATTCATGTTTTCTAAATCTGTTCCCACAAGGTTCCTGACTTTCCTAGAGAGAACCAATCCTTCCCGTTGCCTAGCACTTGGTCAGCTCTTCTGACAACCTTGCTCATGCAATTAGTTATGTATCATGTCAACCTCTCACCTTTATTAGATGCTGAGATTTTGAATATCAAGTTGTGGTTTATAAACTATGGTTGCATCTACTATTTACTGAGTGCTTACTAAGGGTCAGGACAAGAAAATATTAAGGGCAGCTTTCCAAATCCGTAACAGTGACCTCACTTGTTTGAGCTATGCTCAGTAATACGATGAACGTCAATAGAAGTAATACATTGTGAAGCAGGGGCTTTTTTTGTTTGATTTTGTTTTTTGTGGTTTTTGTTGTTTTTTTTTTTTTTTTTTTTTTTTTTGCAACTTTGCTGTGTGAGAATCCTCTAATTCAGTGCAAACGTTAGGCAAATTGTGCCATTCTATCATATAAAGACATCTCTATTTTGCAGATGAGGAAAGGAGGCATAGAAAGGTTAAGAAACTTTCCAAATAAGTGGTGGGGCCGGGACTTCTATAAACTTGTTGGACTCCAAAGTCAGTGCTCTTAAACCACTAATGCTACAAACTTTTTGACTAAGCAATGCTTTTTAAATAGTAAGCAATCAATACATGAACTTTAGTTAAATGTGTTGACTATCTTCTCAGTGATTTACACAGCACTTGTCTCTATATATCCATAATCAACCTGCATGAGTTTCAGTAGGAATAATTTTGGTCTTTTGATGGATCAGACAACTAGGCAAAGGTCCACAAAGTGTCTTCCTATGGTCACAAGTTAGCATGTGACAGGGTTGCACTATTCTAAGGCTCCCGGGCCTCTTTGTAAAACACCACCCCAACTTCATGAGGTAGTTCTGAATAAATCACAGTTTTTCTGATGTTAAGCTTAACTTTCAAAACATGCAAATTAACAGTGAAAACTCTCAAAAGCAAGTATCTAGAGTGGAAAAAATTATTTTATTATGTTATTATTTATTATGTAAAATATAATAATTAAATAAAATTTGAATATTTGAAATTTATGTCAAATAAACATATCTGACATAAATAAACATATACCTAAATGTAAATTCAAAAAACATCAATAGAGATAAGGTTTGAATTTGTAAATTTGGAACCTTTCTATCTTTTCTATCTTTTCTATCTTTCTATCTTTTGAGTAAGAAAGAATAATTCAGCAAGACACTACTATGGATGAATGTAAACTTGGGAACCTTTACACAAGTTTTCATTAACAAATTAACCTGTCAAAATTTAAATAAAACATTAATATTGCATTCCTCCTTGACTGCCACAAAGTTTAAGATGCTTATAACAGGCCAAAGAAAAAATCAGGAAGCATATTCTCCTCTCAGTAGGAGCCACTATTAGCAATCCTACCTTGTGTGGTAAAGATCAGAGGGGCGCTCCAGTCACTCCAGAGTCCTGGGCCATCCAGTCTCCTGCCCCTCACTTGAACTTCATATGAAGACCCAGGAAGCACACTGTCTACCAGCAGAGATGTAGCTGAGACAATCTCATCAGCCTATTAAATATTATTTGAAAACATCAGAGCATCAAGTTGATGTGGAACCTTTATCAAAATTGATGACAAGCAGTCTTAGCAAATTTCAAAGAATTAAAATCTTACAGAATAGTTAGCAGGCCCCAGTAGAATTCATTTGCACATTTGTCAATAAAAGTTTAAAGAGCCCATGAGTCCAAGAAGAAAATCACAGTGACAGGAAATATTTTTACCTGAATAATAATGAATATTGACCTTTCGAAATTTGAGAGACACAGCTGAAGTCAGTGGAGAGCTTTAAGCCACCACTGACATCTCTAATAAACACACATGGTAGGAAATAATGAGCAGGGGTGGACAGTGAATAACAAACATTCCTAGAATAAAGCTTCACAGAGAAGGGCACGAATAATTTAAAAACCTGAACTTGATGATAAGCTACAGTGAATCAAAATATAGTTTATACACTAGAGAGCAGATATCCAAGAGACTTAATTCTGCATAAGACAACCACTACTAAGAACTGCTTAGCAAATAAATTCAGTTTTCCTATGATGTACTCCAAAGCTACTGAACTCCCTGGCCTCTTAAACTGGGAAAGGGTGAAAAGCGCTAGGAATGTATTACACAATAGCAGATTACTTATATTTCAAATTCTATTATCTCCGTTTTATAGATGAGAAAGCTGAAGCCCAGAGAAGCCTTAACTCTGCTTTTCCCACACGTGGCACTAAGGATTCCTTTTCTGCTCTTCATGAAAATAAAGCTCTTTAAAAAACTGGCCCAGAGTTAAAAAGACAGTTTTTATATCTAAATTATATAACAATTCATTTCATAAGGGAAAATGCCAAACTCCATGCACCGTCCACGCTCCTTATGACCTCCTTCTTCTCCTCTCCTACTCCTCTCTGATTCATCCACTGCTACTCTTGTTCTCACTCACTCCCCTGGCCTCTAGCTTCTCATCCAGCTTATGGCCTCTGAATTGCTGTTTCCTCTATTTGGAAACTAATTCCCCCATTTATCTCCATCACGAACCTCCTTCAAATCCTTGCCCAAATGTCACCTTCTCAATGAGGTCTTCCACACCTCCACTTAATGCTACAACCTACCATCTCCACCAGCACCCTCAAGCTCCCCTCTCCAGTTTGTTCTACTACCAAGTGCATCCTGATGCCCGTAGAACAGTTCCTAGCACCTATTAGGTACTCAATAAACACTGAAACGATGCAAAAGGGATTTGACACACTTTACACTACAAATGTATGCACTGCATGTAAACAAATATGTTGAGCAATAAAAAAAGTAAGTTTGAATTGTAAAATCAGAAAGGATTACGATCATGAATCCAAGTTTCTGTAACTGGACTTTCTATAGCCCTTTAGCCGTGTGTGCGTGCATGTGTGGAGGGAGAGGGAAGAGACGGAGAAAGATGATAATCTATACATAAACTCTTTTTGGAAGTGGAACTTTCTCTGGAACTAAATTCTGGGAAGAATTTGTCATACCCCTCAATATATAACATGGATCCATACATAAGAGATACTGTGCAACATCAAACAATTTTTCTAAAAGCATTTTACCAAAGATGCAGACATGCTGTTCATATGGTCATTTCCTAGGCTGATCTTAAATGAAAGCAAGTATAATATTAAATTACAGCTGGTTCTGCTCCAGAAGAGCCATGTACATTTGGCAAGCAAAGAGCATTTGAGATGGGACTTGGAAAGCGCTGTATCTTCAGTTGCTCCTTGATGTTCCATTTTGTTTACTAAAATATACTTACTGGGGCACCTGAGTGGCTGCCTCCATTAAGTATCAGACTCTTGATCTCGATTCAGGGCATCTTGGCTCAGGGCATGATCTCATGATTTCATGAGTTCGAGCTCTACATCAGGCTCTGTGCTGACAGCACAGAGCCTGCTTGGGACTCTTTCTCTCCTTCTCTCTCTCCCCTTCCCACATTAGAGTTGTCTCACTCTCAAAATAAATAAATAAACATTAATTTTTTTTTCCAATTTAAACTATACTTACTTTTCTCATATTTGTTGAAGAATTCTCTGAATATTTCACTTGATATTGAAGTTGAAATGGTACCAATGTTGGGCTGGACCAAGAAATTTTTAAATTGCCAGTGTCTGTGATTTCCATATGTAAACCTAATGGTGGATCAGGCTTCACTTAAGGAAAAGAGAATATTTTGAAGTCAAGCAATTTTCATGATAATCATAAAATAAAGTCAAAATGAATTTTTAGCAGATCCTAATCTTTTAACTACTTAAAAGGTAACCTTAAGCAAAGGCTAATTACAGAACCAAAATATTAGGTCTCCTCCTTGTATCTTTCCATAACAATCCACACATCTTCCTTTCCTTCTCCCTAAATGGTAAAAACTGTAAATCAGTAAATGAGGTTGTTTTGATAAACGTGAATTCCTGCTGTAAAAAAGTCTGTTAACTTTATTTAAACTGGCATTCCCCAAACTTCTTTGAAGCTTCTCCCTACCACACTCACCCACTGTTTTAGTGGGTGACAAAGAAAAACAGCATTTTGCAGAGCACTACTTGGAAAATGCATACAGAGTTTTCAGGTAAAACTTCACACAAATATGCATGCAAACTTCAGCAAACCTATTAACTTTGAAATACAGTAATCTAGATGCACCAATTCAAATAACCCACAGCATGCATATTTTACATGCAGTAAACATAGCATTAGCAGGCCCTGGCTTGTCACCAGAAATGGGCATAGAGTTTCATAGTCTAACAGTGTGTTTAGCTTAGTAAATGATTTGAGTTTGTATGTATACGCATGTGTTTATGTATGAATATGCATTTGTGTATAGATTTTGTGTGTGTGTGTGTGTGTGTGTGTGTGTGTGTGTGTGTGTAGTTTTAAGCACACATAACCTTGGGACACCTGGGTGGCTCACTCAGTTAAGCATCTGACTTAAGTTCAGGTCATGATCTCACAGTTTATGAGTTCTAGTCCTGCATCAGGCTCTGTGCTAACAGCTCAGAACCCATCTCCCCTGTCTCTGTTCCTTGCTTGTGTGCTCTCTCTCTCCCAAAAACAAATAAACATTAAAAAGAAAAATTAAAAACACATAACCTTTAAATTATTTGTAGAAACAATATAAACATCTTACAATAAAAGACTGGCGAAAGAAATAATGGCTCATCCCTATAAGGGGCTCTATATAGCCATTAAAAATGATAATGGAGAAGAATATTGAACATGTTTAACACTGTTAGTATTGTAAGTTTATTGGGGGTGCCTAGGTGGCTCGGTCAGTTAAGCGTCTGACTCCTGACTTCAGCTCAGGTCATAATCTCACGGTTTGTGAGTTCGAGCCCTGCATCGGGCTCTATACTGACAGCGCAGAGCCTCTTTGTGATTCTTTCTCCCTCTCTCCGTTCCTCCCCTATTTGCTCTCTATCTCTCTCTCAAAATAAATAAAAATAAATTTTAAAAAAAGTTTATTAAACAACATCTATACTTGGATTCCTGATTTTTTTTTGAAATTAATAAAAGAATATTCATAAATATGTATTAAAATTAGAAAAAATGACAAAATGATGGAAAACAGATAATGAATTTGTCCTTTTTGCACATCTCTTGTGTTTTTAAGATTTTAACTAGCAGAACTTACATAATAGAAATAGTCATTACATTGAAACACTGATTTGCATTTCATTTTCAAGAACTAAAATGGCACATTACTGTTTTTTAACACACTGTATTTTCTTTTCATTTTTTTTAAATGTTTTTATTTATTTTTGAAGGAGAGAGAGAGACAGAGCATGAGCAGGGGAGGACCAGAGAGAGAGGGAGACACAGAATCCAAAGCAGGCTCCAGGCTCTGAGCTGTCAGCACAGAGCCCGACATGGGGCTTGAACTCACAAACCATGAGATCATGACCTGAGCCAAAGTCAGACACTCAACCAACTGAGCCACCAGGCGTCCCTTAACACACTGTATTTTCAAGAATTTAGACATAGTTTTTCTCTTTTCCTTGAATCAAAATTAATAAAGTTTTTACTTTATGTGACATATTACAAATTTTAGTTATTTTAAAGCAGGGACAGATAAACACTAAAGTCTAGAAACAATAGGTGAAACTCACTGAGTTCTCATGACCAAAAAGAAAACAAAGCAAAGCCATCAAACAGAAGAGAAATCATAAAATTATAAACTATTGTACACTTCCTGCCGTATAGATATATTCCTTAATATTAGAAATCTAAAAATAAATCTTTCCCTGAACCACCTATGTCCCCAGTCTTAGATATACTGCCACCTACCTGCTTCTTTCACAGTAATATCTCTTGGAAGCATTGGCACTACTCATTCCGCCCACTTTATGTCCCATCTTCCTAACCAACCTACTCTGATCAGGTCTACCCCCTCACCAATCCACTGAAAGCGCTCTCTCTTATCAAGATCACCACCCTTTTCCAAATCCAGGATCAGCTGTCTGATCCATTTCACTCCACCTCTCAGTGGCATTCCACATATCTGCTCACTGTTCCTGCATGGTTCCAGGCCACCATGTTCTTTTACTCCTCTTTTCCCTCTGACTGCCTCAGTCTTTCCCTCGCTGAACTCTTAAGTGGCTGATCTTATTCAATCCCAAAAACATCTATACAACAAATACTCCTGTATATATCTCCCTTGAACTCTAGGATCATATGTCCAAATGCCTACTCAGCATCTCTTGGGTATCTATAAGCATCTCAAAATTAATGTGTCACACATGATCCTCCCCAAATCTCCCCATCCCAGTACATGGTACCACTATTCACTGGCATGCTCTGGTCCTAGCCTGAGTGTTATCCTTGGCTCTTCTCTTTCCTTCGTACCAAATCCACTAGAAATCTCAGATAGCACCATCTCCCAAATAAATTCCAACTATGACCATTTCTTTCTTCTCCATTGCTACATCCCTAAACCAACTAGATCATTCCAATAACCTCCTATCTGAGCCCTCTGATTCCACTCTTGCAACTATCCTTCCTCTTTTCCCCATCAACTTTCTTCTCCACATGCAGAGCAAATTTGAAACATGCACACAGACACACATACCTGACCATATCACTCTCCTGGTTCAAAAGCTTCCAGTGCAATTAGGATAAAATCCAACTCTGTAACTCTGGCCTACAATATGAACCCAATAACTCTCCGAACACATCTCCAGATATTCCCTTACCTCATTCAGTCCAAACATAGAGGCCTTTTCTTTGGTTCCTCCAAATGCCAAGCTCATTCCATCTCAGAGGTTTCATGGGTGCTATTTTTCCTGCATGGAGCACCTTTTGCTCTGGAGTTTTACACAGTTTTTTCTCTTTCATTTAGCCCAACTGCTATCTCCCAAAACAGGTCCTCTTTGACCTCCATAGCTAAAATAATAGTCACTACACCTGACACTCTCCATCTCTTACTTCTTTTATGGAACTTAAAATTTTGGGACATTATCATATATGCCCAAGCATACGGAAAGATTTTTTTTCCTCAAAAATCATTACTGAAAAAAAACAAAACTCTTTTTAAGTTTCATATAAAGTCTATCATAGAACTTCATCTTAACTTTTATTTTTTTTAAATATGCAATTAAATTCTGACTCCAGGTGCTTCTAAAAATCACCTGAGAGAATTAGTTTTAAAAAGAGAACATAACAGGGGCGCCTGGGTGGCGCAGTCAGTTAAGCGTCCGACTTCAGCCAGGTCATGATCTCGCGGTCCATGAGTTCGAGCCCCGCATCAGGCTCTGGGCTGATGGCTCGGAGCCTGGAGCCTGTTTCCGATTCTGTGTCTCCCTCTCTCTCTGCCCCTCCCCTGTTCATGCTCTGTCTCTCTCTGTCCCAAAAATAAATTTAAAAAACGTTGAAAAAAAATTTTTTAAAAAGAGAACATAACGGTATTTTATAAATATTATGTATATTTTTCCTGTGGTATAATTTCATGATGGAATTGTTCAGGCGTCATCATAATTATGTTGTAGAGACCAAAAATATATCCCTAGAAGACAAATTATTTGAAAGTCCTAATGTTGGGGCGCCTGGGTGGCTCAGTCGGTTAAGCACCCGACTTCAGCTCAGGTCACGATCTCACGGTCCATGAGTTCGAGCCCCGCGTCAGGCTCTGGGCTGATGGCTCAGAGCCTGGAGCCTGCTTCCGATTCTGTGTCTCCCTCTCTCTCTGCCCCTCCCCCGTTCACGCTCTGTCTCTCTCTGTCCCAAAAATAAATAAACGTTAAAAAAAAATTTTTTTTGAAAAAAAAAAAAAAAAGAAAGTCCTAATGTTAAAATATGATGTCAATGCATTCATGTCATATGTCATATGCAAATCTGCATATGTAGATGTCATGCTCAGTAACTTAGAAAGAAATGAAGGTGAGGCTATGTGTAAAACCGTGTGAGATGCCTGGAAAAGTGGCTCTTGTGATGTCAAAAACAATGATGCAATGATGCATGTAAGAAGTTTATATACAATGCTTTCAAGAAATACAAGTGGAAAATAGTAACACTGTTACATTACATGTTATATATAATATACGTACATACACAAAACTGAGTTAATAAACACATTCATTAAGTGAACACTTGCCTATCTTATTCACATTTGTAATTATATGTTCAGGTGGATCAAAAGAAACTTTGGGAATCTTTGCACTAAAAATCTGGGCCATAACCTATTACTTGAGTTTTTCTTATAATCAGATTTGTACAGCAAATTATTTAGTTGTTTACTTTTTTACTATCCCTGTCTGCTTAATATTGTCTCTGGTCTATGAGGCAGAAACTTTGTCTCATTCACCACTGTTTCCCCAGCTCCTAGGTCAGTGGCTGACACATATGAGCCTCTGAGAAATATTTATTGAGGGAAGAAATCCAGGTAAAAAACAAGCTTCTCATTATTTTTGGAAATTATTATCTGATAAGTGAAAACAGGAATAACCAAACGACACATATCCATTGCACAGATCCAGAATTTAAGAAAAAATGTTTTTAAGAAAGAATTTAACAACTGCAGAGATATCTATATTGCGCTTAAAACATTCTAGAAGCTACTCTTAATAGTTCCTCATACCACATTTACCATCCTTACAGCTCGAGAGCAAGATAAACTATTGAAAAAAAACATTTTGTGAGCAATTTTTAACCTGCTTGTGTGACTGATGTTTAGATCTATTATCTCTTTTGTACACAACTTACCAACATTTATGGGCTGAACTGACATCATAGGTGACTGAAAAATTACTCCACCAGACGTGATTTTGAAATACATAAGAAGAGTGTGGTTGAGTTTGGCTGTGGGCACAGGCACATGGCATTCACAGCTGTCACGAACACTGCAGTTACACTGAACAGTCAGAAAACTGCCCTTCTGGGGGACCGGAAGTGACTCTTCTAACACTTCAGGCCTATGTGAAAAAAGAAGAGATAAATATTAGTGTAGATGTGGCATGTACTGGATTTACTTAAAATGTATGACAAAAATTTCTGCGCATCCAGCTTAAAAGGCATCTAGGGAAAAACAAAGGATGCATTATATCAGAGATACAAACATAAGAGTTAAAGCAGGTTAGCCATTAGAAAGAATATCAGCACAGGGGCACTTGGCTGGCTCCATCGGTAGGGCATGTGACTCTGGATCTTGGTATTGTAAGTTCGCGCCCCATGTTGGGTATAGAGATGACTTAAAAATAATAAAAAATCTTAAAAGAAATAATACCAGCAACAAGGTACTGAAGCAATAGTGAAGTACCAAAAAGGAAAGAGATACTGTGATCCTAAAACTCTATATCCAGAGAAAATATCTTTCAAAATAAACATGAAATAAAGGTTTTTTTTCAAGCATACCAAAACTGAAAGAATTCATCACCCATCAGGTGTGTATTATAAAAGCTGCCAAAGAAAATCCATCAGGCAAAAGAAAATGATAGCAGATGGAAGACAGGTTCCACACAAAGAAATGAAAATAACTTTAAAAGGGTATTTACTTGGGAATGCAAGCTGGTGCAGCCGCTCTGGAAAACAGCAGGGAGGTTCCTCAAAAAACTAAAAATAGAACTACCCTATGACCCAGTAATTGCACTACTAGGCATCTATCCATGGGATACAGGTGTGCTGTTTCAAAGGGACACATGCACCCCATGTTTATAGCAGCACTATCAACAATAGCCAAAGTACGGAAAGAGCCCAAATGTCCATCGATGGATGAATAGATAAAGAAGATGTGGTATATACATACAATGGAGTATTACTCGGCAATCAAAAAGAATGAAATCTTGCCATTTGCAACTACATGGATCGAACTAGAGGGTATTGTGCTAAGCGAAATTAATCAGAGAAAGACAAGTATCATATGACTTCACTCATATGAGTACTTTAAGAGACAAAACAGATGAACATAAGGGAACGGAAACAAAAAGAATATAAAAACAGGGAGGGGGACAAAGCAGAAGAGACTCATGAATATGGAGAACAAACTGAGGGTTACTGGAGGGATTGTGGGGGCAGGGGTGAGCTAAATGGGTGAGGGACACTAAGGTAATCTACTCCTGAAATCAATTTTGCACTATATGCTAACTAATTTGGATGTAAATTTAAAAAAATTAAAATTAAAATTAAAAAAAATAAATAATAAACATGGAGAACTGAAGGTTACTGGAGGGGTTGTCGGAGGGGGGATGGGCTAAATGGGTAAGGGGCACTAAGGAATCTACTCCTTAAATCATTGTTTCACTATATGCTAACTAATTTGGATGTAAATTTAAAAAAATAAAAAAATAAAATTAAAAAAATAATGTGGAGAAAGTTAAAATGGGATATTTTAAAGGCTATACACATTTATTTTTGTTCTGTACTGAAGATAAAGACAAGGAGAATCCTTTCAAGATCAAGTAATGAAAATTCTCTAGTTTTTAGAGCCTCTACTCCTTTACCATAGGTTTCTAAAAAGTTTAATACCTATTTTAGGATCAATACTTTGTGCAAATTAATATAAGGAGGATTCTGGGGGATGAAGTTTAGAATTAGCAAAAATAAGAAGGGTTTATATTTTTCCAAGAAAATAGAAAAAAATCACTGGAAAACAGATTCTTGAATTTTTTCAGTTATTCTAAAATGTCTTGTCTGTGGAAACTATCCAGTTTTCAAAACAACATTATCCTCAGATCTTTGTAACTAGAGCGTATTTATTAAATCATGATTTTTTTTTAAAAAAGGGTATTTACTGACTGCTTACAGCAAAAATAATAACCATGTAGTGTAAGGTTTATAACAGATAGAAGTAAAACATATGACATTGGCTCCAAGCTTTGGAGTGCAGGACATAATCTAAGTATGCAGTTGTAATGTTCTCATGCTACACATGAAGTGGTATAATATTCCTCGGAGGTACATAAGTTAGACCGTGATGAGTTAAAAACCTGTATTGCAAATCCTAAAGCAACCACTAAAATAACAAAACAAGAAGTTACAGCTTTGGAATCACAATGGTCAAGTCAACAGAGTATTAGTATAGAGAAAAATAGATGAATGGAACAGAATAGAGACGAAGACCTATATGGACAACCAGCTTTCTAGAGAGGTACAAAAGCAGGTCTGTGGAGAAGGGTGGTGAGCAATGGGACGTCTATACGCAAAACAAAACAGATTTCAACCCCTACTCACACCAGATTCAAAAATTAATTCAAAATGGGTCATCAATTCAAATATAAAATCTAAAGCTATAAAACGTCTAGAAGAGAACACGGGAAAAAAAATTTGTGACCTTGGGTAAGGTAACATGTCCTTAGATGCAACACCAAAAACATGATCCATAAAAGAACAAATTCATAGATTGGACTCTTCTCAAGATTGAAAACTCCTCTGAAAGAAAGACACTATGAAACAACAAAAAGACAAGCCACAGACTGAGAGAATACATTTCCCAATCATCTATCTAATAAAGCACTTGTCTCCAAAAGATAAAAAGATCTCTCAAAACTCAATAATAATAGGGGCTCCTGGGTGGCTCAGTTGGTTAAGTGTCAAACTCTTGGTGTCTGTTCAGGTTATGATCTCACCGTTCGTGGGTTCAAGCCCCATGATGGGCTCCACCTGCTGGGGATTCTCTCTCTCTCTCTCTCTCTCTCCTTCTTTCTCTGCCCCTCCCCTGCTCTCACTCTCTGTGCGTCTCTCTGAAAATAAACTTTTTTAAAAAGGTTAAAAAAAAACCTTGTAAATGGGGAGAGAGTATTAATATTTGGACATGATCACTGCCTTCAGAAATCTTGCAGCCCTTTTGGAGGGAAAAACTGTAAGTGATAAATATACAAATTTAGTGCAGGGAAAGCAATGCTTTAGAAACTCTGCTAACTAGCACATACGTGAAAATTCAGATATAAACACAACATGAAAGAAATGGGACCGAATCATTCATACATATACCCCTAGTATTAAATGTTGTGAATTATGATAGATTTTCATGTTTCCTGAGATAGACTTTAGTATTACATTAGACCTAAAAGAAATCAATCAAGAAACAACGTTTCCAGGCCTTTTAAGGTGCAAATCAGTCTATTGGGCGCTGTGTAAGGGATAATCCTATTGTGGGAAGCACACTAAACTAAACTGAGACCTAAAATTAAGTCCTGTTTGCTTATGAGCCATAGTCAGAGAGTTCCTTTTGTGAGCTTTGGTTTCGACAATCAGTAAAACAGAGAAAAATGCCTGCACTACTCACCTTTACAAGGCTATTGTAAGTATTAAAGAGGATAACATAAAAGGATTTTTGAAAACTTTAAAGTGCTATATACTCATAAGATACCATTTTGGGGTTTTTTTTAATATGAAATTTACTGTCAAATTGGTTTCCATACAACACCCAGTGCTCATCCCAACAGGTGCCCTCCTCAATGCCCATCACCCACTTTCCCCTCCCTCCCACCCCCCACCAACCCTCAGTTTATTCTCAGTTTTTGAGACTCTTATTGTTTCCCTCCTTCCCTCTCTGTCCCCCATGGTCTTCTGTCAAGTTTCCCAGGATCCACGTAAGAGTAAAAACATATGGTATCTGTCTTTCTCTGTATGACTAATTTCACTTAGCATAACACTCTCCAGTTCCATCTACGTTGCTACATAAGGCCATAATTCATTCTTTCTCATTGCCAAGTAGTATTCCATTGTATATATAAACCACATCTTCTTTCTCCATTCATCCATTGATGGACATTTAGGCTCTTTCCATTATTTGGCTATTGTTGCAGGTGCTACTATAAACATTGGGTTGCAAGTGCTCCTATGCATCAGCACTCCTGTATTCCTTGGGTAAATACCTAGCAGTGCTATTGCTGGGTCATAGGGTAGATCTATTTTTAATTTTTTGAGAAACCTCTACACTGTTTTCTAGAGTGGCTGTACCAGTTTGCATTCCCACAAGCAGTGCAAGAGGGTTTCCGTTTCTCCACATCCTCGCCAGCATCTATAGTCTCCTGAATTGTTCATTTTAGCTACTCTGACTGGCGTGAGGTGATATCTGAGTGTGGTTTTGATTTGTATTTCCCTGATGAGGAGTGACATTGAGCATCTTTTCATGTGCCTATTGGCCATCTGGATGTCTTCTTTAGAGAAGTGTCTATTCATGTCTTCTGCCCATTTCTTCACTGGATTATTTGTTTGTTGGGTGTGGAGTTTGGTGAGTTCTTTATAGATTTTGGATACTAGCCCTTTGTCCAATATGTCATTTGCAAATATCTTTTCCCATTCCATCGGCTGCCTTTTAGTTTTGTTGATTGTTTCCTTCGCAGTGCAGAAGCTTTTTAATTCATGAGGTCCCAAAAGTTCATTTTTGCTTTTAATTCCCTTGCCTTTGGAGATGTGTCAAGTAAGAAATTGCTATGGCTGAGGTCAGAGAGATTTTTTCCTGCTTTCTCCTCTAGGGTTTTGATGGTTTCCTGCCTCACATTCAGGTCCTTTATCCATTTTGAGTTTATTTTTGTGAATGGTGTAAGAGAGTGGTCTAGTTTCATTCTTCTGCATGTTGCTGTCCAGTTCTCCCAGCACCATTGGTTAAAAAGACTGTCTTTTTCCATTGGATATTCTTTCCTGCTTTGTCAAAGATTAGTTGGCCATGCTTTTGTGGGTCCAATTCTGGAGTCTCTATTCTATTCCATCGGTCTATGTGTCTGTTTTTGTGCCAATGCCATGCTGTCTTGATGACTACAGCTTTGTAGTAGAGGCTCAAGTCTGGGATTGTGATGCCTCCTGCTTTGGTTTTCTTCTTCAATATTACTTTGGCTATTCGGGGTCTTCTGTGGTTCCATACAAATTTTAGGATTGCTTGTTCTAGCTTCAAGAATGCTGGTGCAATTTTGATTGGGATTGCATTGAATGTGTAGATAGCTTTGGGTAGTATTGACATTTTAACAATATTTAT